TGCTCCATGCCCATTGCTGCGGGGTGAGTGGGGACGGATCAAGTTTGGACAAGAATGGGAACGGTAGATGGACCAAGACGTACAGGACCTGCTTCTTCTCAATCTCAAAAAAAAAGTAATCAAGTGTAATGTAACGAATAGAAATGCTAATAATGCATGCCATGTGTCATGGCGCTGACCGATTCCATCGTTGCAATGCTAAAGCCTTGTTTAGTTGGTGAAATTTTTTGAAAAATGCTACTGTAGCACTTTCGTTGTTATTTGATAATTAGTGTCCAATTATAGTCTAATTAGGTTTAAAAGATTCGTCTCGTAAATTTCGTCTAAACTGTGTAATTAGTTTTATTTTTTATTTATATTTTTTGGAAAAAAATTCAAAATTCACTGTAAGACTTTTTGGAAAAAATTTTGAAAACTAAACAGACACTGACTTGCTTTAACGAGGACGTACGTACGGCGTGCAGGAGCGAGTCGGCAAGTGGGGTGGTCGGGTGGTGGACAAGTGACATCTATTTCTTATTTTTGGAATGAAGTGACATCTACTATTTCTATATATATGTTTAGATAAGGCCTAATATTTTTCACTCTTTTCATCACTATCAAATCGAATGGACATATGTATAAAGTATTAAATATAAAAAAAAAAAAATAATTACATAGTTTAGTTTGATCACGAGATAAATATTTTAAGACTAAATCATTTTTAGCCTAAGTGCTACAGGCTAATATGTGCTAATAATGGCTTAATTATCAATAAATTTAAACAAAAATGCTAGCTAGGTAATGTCAAATACTAATCGCTAATTCAATCTAAACAAGGCGTATGAAGTACTGTCTACATGGAACGTCAAGGATGAATCCATGAACACCGCTGCTGCTGGATTCCAGAGACCACATGCACGCAAATGTCGTACTCCTACGCTCATGTACAACTGCAATGTGCACGCACCTCTCCTTTCTTTCTTTTTTAAAAAAATGCCAGCCTATATTTCTGTACTGCTCTACCTACTCCATCCATCTCTAAATAACTATTGGCATTGGCGTACGTGCCGCACACATTTTAACTTGTTTTATAGAAAATATGTATTATAATATTTTTATCTCTAAATTAATTTATTAAAAAACTAGATTCAAAAATTTTTCCAATGATACTAATTATATACCATAAATATTAATATTTTTTAATATATATTTAGTTAAACTTGTTTTTTCTCGATTGAAGCTTGAAACGATAGATATCTATAAGGATAAAGCCAGTATTTTTCACTAGTCGTTACTAAAACTCCTCAAGCCGAACGGAACCATAGAACAGGGACAAAGGCAGTACTAGTCGTTACTATAACCAGCCAAGTCCAAAGCTATTACATCTCGCTATATATCTTAAAAAAAAACATACGAGATGCGTACAAACTCTTCGATCAGAGGCTTTGGAGTTTGGACGTCGTCAGGCACGCCCTGTTCCGATCCGCTGTAGTACGTTTGCCTGTTTCCTACGTAGCCGGGGCGTGCTCACGTCTACTCGTACGTACTTCCTCTGTTCCAAATTACAAATCGCTCTGACTTTTTTCTTTATCTATTTTAATATGTATCTAAATATAATATATGTCTAGATGCATAAAACAAAATAGATATAAAAAAGTCAAAATTACTTATAATTTGGATCGAACCGAGTACTTCTCTGTGTCTTCTCGTCCGCAAAGTATAAGCCGTTGTCGTCACACCTTAATATATAGTTTAACCGGTGATACATCTATGCATATCCGTCAGTAGTAGGCATGGCATGACATCGTCACGCGGGCCGTCGTGTCATCGTCCGGCTTATATGCATACGACATTTTATTTCGATATATACAACGTATACTATATATATATCTCATCTCGATGACTAGCTCGTTTGCCCCGTGTTGATACAGACAGATTCAGTCGACGCCACCCGTGAGCGCAGCAAGTATATAGACGGACCCGGTATCCGGTACTGCTGATCTACAGGGATCTAAGTTTTGGGGAGCGCGCGGATGAACAGTAAACGCCTCGAGTTTGACGTTTGGAGTTCAAGCAACACGCCCACAACGGGACAGCACACTGAAAACTTTCAGCTCGTTCGGAGGGTCACTGAACAGTGTTTTTTGGATTTTTTTTATCATTGAATAGTATTTTGTGAGAGAGAATAAACTGAAACAGTATAGATGCTAAATGCCACGTACACTCTATCCTAACCTAAGCATGCAGGAAGACACCCTGTCTCTATAGGCACCTCTAAAGACTGAGACGACAGGTGTATCATCGATCTTTGCGTCAACGAGTATGTTTGGAATGCATAAATATATTTTGCATGTGTTGTTATGGAATTTCATTCATGTGTTAACAGACGATGATTCAAATACAACTGCCGCGTGTTTTAAAGGGTCGTCGCATGCCTTCGTGCATGCTGCCACCTTTCTCCGCCGAGGCAGGGGCTGGAATGGATTGCATGCCGCGCAGGAACCCGGAAGGCTGCACTGCACAACTGCGTCGCAAGTCATCCATCGGGATTCGGGGGTTGAAAAAACGTGAATATAGTTTAGATTGTAAATTTTTCATCGGCCCGATCATTGGTTGGTTTACGTTTTTCGTTTATATTTGACAAACTTTGTCCGATCAAAAACATTATTAACCTGGCTTGAAAAAACGAAATTAATAGGATGATTTGTTAACAGACGATGATTCAAATACAACTGCCGCGTGTTTTTTATCTACGTTTAATGCCTTCGTGCATGCCGCCAAATTTCTCCGCCGAGGCAGAGCTGGAATGGATTGAAATGCCGCGCAGGAACCCTAAAGGCTGCCATAATTCTTTAGCTTTGAACGTGTACACGACATGTGTCCAGGTTCAGAGGTCTGAGGAGTACAGGTCCGGGCGAAGCAGGTCCCGGGGCACCAACCGTACCGTACGTACGGGCGCGCACCGCTAGGCTTTTATTCAACGGCAAGGCGATCCAGTCTTGGTCCTGGCGAGCATGCGTGCGCCCGGCACTCGCGCCGGCAGCGGCAGGCCAGGCTTCCTCGCTCCGTCGTGCAGTTGGGAACCTAGCACGGTACCACTGAGCGCACGCGCCGCTGCCCCAGCTGGACCGCCTGCACTGCACGCGAGCAAAGTACCGGACCAGCTTAATTTGCTGCTCGTTCACGAGAGCATCTCCAGCGGTCCCTAATCACACTACTCATCCCCGTAAAACTTTCATATCGGGAAGATTGTCACTTTTTTTCTCCAGTTGTTCTCCAATAGCCCCTTTTTTTTTTTGCCACAAAAAAACACTCCATCTCACCTCAAATAGAGGGGAAGTTGCATCTCTGCCAAAAGCTGGGCCCACTTCCAACTGTCATCTTCCTCCCCTCGCTCCTCTCTGCCTCCATCGCAGCCATGGCTGCCGCAAGGTTCCCCATCGGCCATCGCAGCCAGCTTCCCCATCTCTGCCTCCATCGCAGCCATCGCATGCTGGACAAGCCATGGCCGCCGCCGACAGCTCCTTCGGGTTCTCGCTCTCCTGTTCGCGCCACCAAGATGCAGTAGCAGCGGGCGCCAGCAGCAACAGCCGGATCAACGCCCCACGTCTCCGCGCGGACTGGATCCGCGCCATGCTCCGGGAGGTGGACAACAGGATGGTGCGGAAGATGCTCGCCGGCGCCGCCCGGGACCGGGGCTTCGAGTCCGACCTCGCTCTGGCCGTCATGCCATGGGTGGCGCCGATGCCGGTGGCTACAGCGGCAGAGGTTCAGACGGCAAGGACAACGTGGGGATGGGCCCAGCTCGCACCATCCGCGCGCGCGTCGGGCAGGTCGCGATGCGGTAGTCACGATGCATGCAGGTCGCGAACTTGAGATGCGGGAAGAAGAACCGACGGGAGGGGAACAGAAAGGGAAGGAAAAAAAGATAATTAAATTGTAACGTACACGTGGGTCTCATTTATTGGGGTAGATTATTGTGATCTACTGTAGCACTCTCTCTAATGATTCAAAAAGTAATATTAGGCTACCCCAATACCAAGTTACTGGGGAGAATTGTATTGGGGGATGCTGAAGATGCTCTGAGCGCTTTACTTACATGTTGTTAGGATTATGTTAGACGTGATCAGAGATACTCTAATATAGTACTAGTAGTATATTAGGCATTTAGGCTGCCGGCACAAGGGGTTACGAACCAGAGGAGATGAGGATTCACCGCTGTTTTCTTGACGGCAATCCCACCCACCACTTGTGCAATACAGGACAGGACGTCTGGGAGGGCAAGGCAAAGCATGGGCAGACACCAGACTGTATGTGAACATGTGCATCAGCCTGCTCGGTTGGCTGGTTATTCATCGTTGGTTCGTGATTTGTTTCGTCGCTGATTCGTAAAAAAGTATTGCTAATTAATTTGTGTGAGAGAAAAATACTATTTCAACTAAAAAATTTACGAGCCAAGGAGTTTAAGGAACGGGCTATGGCTGATGGCCCTCGGATGCCGCAAAATAATTCCAACTGCAAGCAAAAGCAACAACCAAAAAGCTGCCGCTGACCAGAGCACATCCATCCACCCAACCCAATGCGGCTAAATTGAGTTTGGCATTGGCAAGCAACCTTTCATGGAGTATTAAATGAGTAAAAAAAAATAATTAATTCCTGATTTAGTTGGAAATCATGAGATGAATCTTTTGAGCCTAGTTGATCCATGATTGGACAATATTTACCAAATAAAACAAAAATGGTACTATTCATTGGGTTGAAAAAAGTTGTAATCTAAACATGGCCAATGCGGCAACCGTGGCATTGGCAAGCAACCTTTCCACAGGAGTACAATTCTAGTGCACACGACGTCCTCTCACCGGTCACCGCACGGCATCCACTGTGTCTGTCAGTCTGTGCGCAACGATATGCGTAGCGTAGCCTGCCTGCATCTTTTTCTGCATCTGCTCCACCCCCACACCGACGAACCATACGTGACCTTGGAAAACGTGTAAGGCTGCGACTTGGGACGGTGGCCATCAGTTGAGCGGCGCGATGTGGATGGAGGTGTTCTTGGCGCCGGCGCAGACGGGGCAGGCGTCCGTGCGGGGCTCGCACGCCTTGCACAGGCACAGGTGCCGGCACGGCAGCAGCAGCACCGACGCCTCGCCCTCGCCGCACGCCCTGCACGCCCACTTGCCGTTCCAAGTCGAGGACGACGAGGCCGTGGCAGCGGCGGCGGCGGTGTCCGCCGCCTGCTCCTCCACGTAGCAGCAGCAGCACGACTGCGCGTCGTCGGGTTCGGACTCGCCGAATCCCTCCTCGGAGCGGAGGAGCAGCGCGTCGAGCGTGGCTTGGAGCCCCGCGGCGACGGCCTCGTTGCCCCGCGCGACGCCGCACCACGCCTGCGCCTCCGCGGCCGCCAGCCGAACCCGCTGCTCGAGCTCCGCCGCGCGCCGCCGCGCCGCCTCCAGCTGGGCCTCCGCCTCCCTCACCCGCCGCGCCACCGCTAGGCCGGATACGGCTGCTCGGACCAGCAGCGCCTGGTGCTGCCGCTTGCGCGCCAGCTCCAGCCCCGCGCGCAGGCGGTCGCACTCGGCGCGCACCAGCGCGTCCACCTCCGCGCACAGCAGCTCCGACGCCAGCGCGTGGTCCGCCGAAATCTCTGCCCGGCCGCTCGTCGACGCTGCCCCGGGCGGCCGCATCATCCCCGGGAGAGGCAGGAGCCGCGCGTAGTGAAGGAGCTCGTCCTCCTCCCTGCCGCGCTTGCGCGAGGGCGCGGGCACGGCCGCCGCGCCACCGCCGTTGCACGTCAGCTCGCTCTGCGCGGCGCAATAGTCGTACTGCTGCCACGCGTAGCCATCATCGCCACCGGGCGTCGCCGCCGCGGCGGACAGCAGGAGCGCGCCGTAGTCCTTGAGCGCCCGCATCTGCTGCTCCTCGGGCGCGTAGGGTGGGAGCACGAGGCCGCCGAATTGCGCCTGTACGGCCATGGTGTCAAGGAGGACGGGGAAGGCGGAAGGCGTGGGTGATGATGGACGGATGGAGCCTGCAGGCGCGGTTATATCGCGGAGGTGGCGACGCCACATGGTCGGACGTCGTGGACGGGGCGTCGCGACTGGATTGGCCATCATGGGAAGCTGGCGGGGCCCGCCCGGATGCGTTGCATCCGCATGCATGCACGCGTGCAGGTACGGTTGCCGCTAATTAATGGGGCCCGTACTACGAGACAGGACAGGAGTTAAAATTACCCTGGATTGGCAGGCAGTCGTAGCACCGTGTTTAAAGTGGCGCGATAATGGCGGCCGTCCCAACGGCCGAGACAAGCGGATCCCATCCCAAAAGGTTGCCGGGGTGGACCACGCCACACGCAAGACCTCCGACTCCGAGTGCGTACGCCACTTGCTCGTGCTGGTACGGGTCACTGGTGGTGCGGGTGTGTGATGACTGTTGAGGCTGCAGTACTATCAGCCTGTTTGATTTGAATAAGCTGGGATTAGTTAATGATGATGAGGATGCTTTGGCAGCAGAGCACCTAAACAAAGGAGAGTCTCGAGATCCGGCGATCTCCACCGGCGTCCCTTTCCGGACTCTGCCGTCTGCGTCTGTCAGCGTGCGCAATGTGCGGACGAAAAGCTACCGCCGGCTCACCGCACCGCACCGATGGACAAAATGAAAGCAGGTGGATGAGGGAGAGGGATCATGGATGCTGCCGCAGAGCAGCATGTGATGCAGATGCAGGGCAACGCGCCCGTGGCCCGGTGGTGCCCCGGCTCGTCCCCCTCTGGCCACCTGTGCGCCCGAGCCTTTTTTCCAGGTCGTCCAGTCCCTGATGCTTTTGTTTCGTCGTCCAGTCCAGTGTCGCCGTACGGCCGCGCACATGTCACCACGCTTTGTTTATGCGTGCCTTCCGTTCCACTCTCCCGACGGAACACGACGATCCATCCATCCCCTCCGGACCTTTTTTTTCTATAGATTTATATATATATAATATAAAGGCGATCATAACGCGAGGTGCAAACAGCCAACAGTTCAGTTCAGTCCAGTCCACCAGCGGCGGGGGCCCGGCATGGCATCGCATGTGATGAGAGGCGACAGTCGCCACGCCATCCGGACGCGCCACGTCGGAAGCGGTGGGCCGGGTGGCGGTGGGGATGTGGCATGTGGGAACTGATCCAACCGCACCATGTCGTACAGATTTGCTAGGTCAGTACTGTCGCTTGTTTTTGCTTCTTCTGTTGAGGTGGCCAGGTGGGAAGCAAAGCGCGAGCTTCCCTTGCACCGAGCTAGCTGGTATGTGCGCATTCAAAGATGGTGGCTTTGTGGTTGTTTATATTTCTTTGGGCTCTGTCTACCAAAATTTCAGATATTAATTAAACTCGTCCTGATTTTACACATGTATTCAACTTTTTTTATATATAAAAAATGCGAGTAAAAGTGATGGATTTAACCTAGAGGTTAAGGTCATGTTTGGGTCAGCAAGAGCTTAGAAGGCTTCTTAAGAAAAATTGCCTCCTATCTAATAGTCTGGTTTATATAACCTATATATGCTCAATTTCCCAACTCTTAAAAAGTTTTAAGCTACCTCTCTCCCAACTATATTCTGATTTTTAAAGTTTTAGCTGGATGGAATGGAGCCTAAAGCCATTGCAAGATTTAGGCATTTTAACACCCATCCATTGTACATATAAAAATACAGCAATATTCACTTCAACTCTAATGCAACCTAGCACTACAGTACATCCAAAATAATTTGACTAGAGGAATCTTTAGTCACGCGCGAAATTTGTAGTAACTTCCCTTTCTAGGCATGCTATATAGGAAGAAGAAAGATATACAATACATAAAGGGAAGAAATTAAGGCACAGGCGCACAGCTCACAGAAAATTAAACCACATACCCAGGCATTATATACCACATGCATCCCAAAACTATTCACAAATTTAAGGGCCTATTCACAAATTTAAGGGAGTTACCATATTTTAGGTGTCTATAGTCACATAATTGCAAATTAATTTAAGGGGGCTACTATATTTTAGGTGTCTATAGTCAAATAATTGCAAGTTAAGGGCAGTCACAATGGTGTATTGATGATGGTTTCTATCCTCATTAAATGACTTGCCACGTAGGCAAAACGCTGACATTGCAACATAATTAATTAAGAAAGAGAGCAAAAATCATAGAAATGGTTTTCTCACGAAGAAATCAGGTCTACTCTTGACCCAATGCACCAAGAAACCATAAAATCACCACTGGAGAGAAACCACCAGTTTCTAGGGAGCTCGTGTCGCACTCACATTGGAGGAAGAAGATAGAGTTGGGAGAAAGAAAGAGAAAATAATTATTATTCATAGAAACCATGAATTGGAAAACAGTACTTTTTTGGTGCGATATCCTATGTTATAGAAACTACTAGTTTCTTTCATTGGGACTGTCCTAAGAGGATCCGAGAGGAATAAGGGCGTCCCAACGTCATGTGTGAATCGCCGGCTAATGTGTTAGCTAGAAACAATAAAAACAAGAAACAAACTGGGAATGCAGGCAGCAATGCAGGGCAGATGCTCAAAAAACTTGGGAAGACGTCACGAGCTGGGCTCTTGCGTCGTCGCTAGCGCTGTAAATTTTCTCATCCTCTCTCCTTCTGAATGGATAAGCGGTCCTCCGAGCTAGCAGGTTGTCAACCGTTGGGGACGCCCTAAGACACATAGAGGGGGAGGAAGAACACGAGAATTAGGCGGTGATTAATATTCCCTTTATTCGATAAGACCATGGCGGTGATTACTCGTATAGTAGTTTTATCTATGACATTCTTCATCGTTAATACATACATGATCTATTTTCAGTTTTTTTTAAAGCTACATAAGCTATCCGTAAATTTACAGCCTGCTTTTTTTTTTTGAGAATACAGCCTGCTTTTTCCAGGCCTGCATACAACCTTTTATTGCCCCGTTCGCTTGTCTTAAGAATCTTTTGGTCTGGAAATCATCTCAGCAATTTTCAATCGTGTTTTTTCCGATCGGTCAAGTTTCGGACACGGGGCATTATCTTTGGTCTAAGCATATCAGCTTTTCAATCGACTTTCCGATCCGTCGGACACCGGCTTCACTAGACTCTCACACCCAATTACCATGGCCCATCTGGCCCAAGCGTCTCATACAGATACAGATTACTCTGATGAGCAACAAAGTTCGTCCCCAACTTGTGAAGACGCACAGTACAGTACCTAGGTATGAGGACGCTTAACGTAGTAGTAGTACTGTAGTGCAGCAGTAGTTCGTCGATGCACCCTGAGCCTGGCCGGGGGTCTCTCGAATTCTTTCCATCGACTATGTATATATAATATATACGTATATATTGCACTGTTCGGCGTATGTACAGAGCCGCTGCGATGAGGTACGTAGTACGTTGGTTTTGTAATATATATACGGAACAGCAACACGTGCAACGGTAGAGGCGTACAGCTCTCCCGTCCCGTGTGCATGCATGCGATGTCACCCACAGAGCTGCTGTACGTGATGTTTGATGGGGATCGTACGTTTTTTAGGGTACTATACTGCACTGTAGCTGCCTATGCGGATCTGTCCGGGTCAACATATACTACTACTAGCAGGTAGCTAGCCACACTGTGGAACCACGTCGCTGGCTGTGGACGTGCCACTGGAGGTGGCTTTAGAGTCTCTGTAGACGTGGCTGCGCCAGCTGTCTTTCTCAGAGTGTTCCTATAAAGGGTGTCTTTATAGGGCGGGTGAACGTCGTCTGCTGTTCTTCCCGGCTGTGATGTTTCTACAAAGGGTGGTTTTTGTAGAGGCGGTTTTCGTAAGATCGTCTGTATCACCGTGTGCCCTGTAAGGCGATTCAATCAAGAACCGCTCATTGGTGGATTTTCAAACAAAAAATAATAATTTAAATTCAAATCTGACTATATATATATGAGGGGTATATATATATATATATATATATATATATATATACAAATTCAAATTCGAATCTGACCGCCACAAATTTACATATATACATCCACAAACACAAGATCATTATTTAGAACATCATCACAAGTCATAATTCACAAAAGTCCATCATTACAACGTAGTCCATTATGAAGTCCATCATTATAACATAGTCCATTATAAAGGTTAAGCTCGAGGTTACCTAGCAACACATTGAAAAAAAAAGGCACAGTAGAACCAATCTACATTTTACAGAACAGATCAGCAACACCAGAACATAATTCATAAGAGAAGCAATCTTCCGTAGCATCAAACATATAACCACCTAAAAAGATAAATAACCTGGTTGAGCTCCATAATTCATCATAATGCAACAAGAGAAGGGAATTGTGAAGCCCCATGTGGTAAGTTAGAAGTAAAAAGTACATTGCGAAGTCTTGAAGACAACTTTATCCATGATTAAGAGGTCAGGAATAAGAAGAGACGAGGTGAGGGTACCTCATGAAGTAACCGACTAACAAGGTGCTATGCGGATGGTCAAGTTTTACAAATGAGAAAAGTAAATCCATTAACTGTAATGAGAAGGAAGGAGATTGTTAGACGAGCGAAGTTCATAAACTTGTGGAGTAAAATGTTCCAAAGAAATGTGCTAACAAGTGAATATATTTACCTCAACATCCTCTACCAAGGTTCTCAAAATAATGTCAATTTCACAAGTAAAAATCTCAAGTTTATAAATGGAAACGCAAGAGGTAGACAAGTGAAGTTTGACAAGGCTAATCAACAAACTAGTTTAATATATGGCATGGCAATGAACAACAAATATACATAGCATACTTGAAAGACTGTTTTTTCTCGAATCCTCCTGGAACTTCTTCCACAATGTAACGAAGTAACTCGCTGCACTTGGGCCTTATCTCGCAAGCTAGATACAAAAATTCAAACATTTTAGGCAGGGAAACAAGCCTACAATAAGGTGGAGTGCAGTTGAAAGCTACGTGGTGTGTTCACACTAATCGCTATATACTGTTATAACATATAAAACT